GCACCTGTAATAAAGTGAACTTCTTGACATACATATTTGGACACTTTTTCACACTTCTTTGGACATTTAATCCTTGATTTTATAGTTACCTTTTCGTAGTGTTAGAAATAGAATATCACTCTTGATATTATGTACTCTTGCTATAATTATTATGCAAAGAATCAAAGACAATTTGATTTAATCTACATGCATTGCTATCTATGCAGTGCAGATAGAGCTAGTGTAATCATGACCAGGGAGGGATGGGATTGGGATTTCCCAGGGAAATTCCCCTATACCCGCCCTTTATATTCAGAAAGAAACGCAAACTACAGTTAGATACTAGACATGGCCTCCTTCGGTTGCTGCTTAAGCTTCGTCATTACTTTTACACTTCTCTCACTGCCACAAATCTTTTGTAGCTGTCCAGAGAGCATCTCCCATTTTAACAAGACTATAATAGACAATGGTAAGAGAACTAAACGCTGTGTTAGTCTCGCTGGCCAGACCATTCCCCAGCCTACAGTCATTGGGGTGGACGCCAATGACTGTAGGCTGGGGAATGGTCTGGCCGGCCAGCGAGACTAACGCTGTGTTTAGTCTACGATTATTGTCTATGTTTACAGGTCTTGGACCTTTAAACGCTACGGAATATGTCGGCAGGACGGCAACCTTTACTGGAACTGTTCCTGCTGCATGTAGTCTGTTAAGACTCTACATTGATGGATGTTATTCATCAAAAATTAACGTTAATATTACTAATATTGGTAATCATAAGAAAAAACTTTCATATGTGACCCCAGTTCTGAATATGTCTCATGATGGGACAACATACGATATATGCACTCATTGCGGTGGTGACCGTTATGAGTGCTTTCTGACTGCTTATCTTTCAGTTAAAGGTGAGACTGAGACTTTATTGTACTAATGGCATTATTGACGTTATTGTGCTTTTGATTGTGGAGCCAATTTTTTGAATAAGAGCATATTTCAGAAATTGGCTCATTTTTATAGTATAATAAATTTTTTTTTGCATATTTTCATTTTTTAGATAAACCAGTGTTGAATGTAAATGCCATTGCTACTTGTAATGGCATACAAGTGGAAGGACAGAAAGACAATGACACAGTCATTATGGCCACAGTGAAGGACTCTCTTAACCACACTGTGTTTCATTGCAGCATTTCATCTTTACCGTATTCGATTAATTATACTGCACTCCCTCCTGGTATTGACTTTAATATTGAATTTGCCGGCATTAATCCAGCTGGAGTGGGAGGAGCATTGGAACAAACAGTGTCATTTGAGAATTGTAAAGTTATAACTAATGGTGATAATAATGTAATATAATCTTTAATATTTTAGTAACTTACTTTCAACTGGGACCCTTTGAGGTTTTGTTTGAAGAGGACAAGGAGCAATTAGTCATCGGATTCATTGTGAGTCATTTATTGAATAATGTTAATTATTATTATTATTACACACTATTATATATAGTTCAATGACACCAGGAGTCCATCATGGGCTCCTGGTAATTGTTTTATAAGACCACAAGAGGTGGAGGTCAGCTCTATCTGTATACTTGGAGGGAGTAGATCCTTTGATATCAGTGATACTGATAATGTTACTGTTGATCTGTTGGATGTAATGGCTGGTTCTGATTGTGAATTTAATGTATCGTCAGGAAAAATTAACTATCAAAAAGTTATTAGTAAGTACACTGTACTTCAGTGCATGCATCATCATATGACTCCGTAAGACCATGGGGTCT